TTTTTTTTTTCCTTTCCTCTTCATCTTCTTCCTCCAATCCTCCCTTCCACACCTCCATGATTGGCTACCCATTTCCGGCCAGACCTTTGCCCACCACACCTCAACCTCACCTCCGGCAGCAAGGAACCCCAATCCACCAGCCACCACCTTGGTCGAAACACGACATCCCGAACCCAGAAACCCGACTTCGAATCCAGAAACACCCACCCACCATCGAAACTATGAAAAACCGTACCCCTAGCCACCGCCGATTTTTTTAAATTCTCTCTCCTCCAAATCTCTCTTCTTCTTTCTTTCTCTCTCTGTTTCAATTTCCCTCCATTTGTAGGAAATTTTCGATCTTCAAAACCTTAGAATTTACCCCTAATTTAGGTCGATGTTGTTGTAATTGGTGGCTGCTTGCGGTGGTTTAGAGATGGCGGCCATGGTGGTGGTGAGATGTTACGGCCACCGTTGGTTGTGGCCAAAGTGGGCGGTTGTTGTGAATTACTTGAACGACTGTTGTTCGAGGCTTCGCTGTTGAATGGGTGCTTTGGTTGACGTATGGGCAGTGGTGCGGTGGCGATGAGGGCTGTGTGGTGGTTTCAGGCGAAAGAGGAGAGAGGTTGTATGGGGGTTGTCGGTTGGAGCAATAAGGAATGGTATTCTAGTGGCTGGGGGTCGTTGAGTGGGCACCAACCCAGTGACGGTGGTGTTGCGGTGGTGGCAGCTATGGGGTAGGAGAAAAAGAGAGGAGGGTGGTGGGTTTGGGGAAGTGGGAAAGGCTGGGGAAGGGTGAGAAATGAAGGGGTTTTTTTTTTTTGTGAAACGCTAAACATCGCCTGCAAATTATCATATAAAGCCCACAAATATGATTTGGTGTGACTATTATGCCCATTTTCTAAAATTGAAATAATCTCGGTTTAAAAAAATGTGGAGCCGTACTGGCTCGCCGGGGGAGACCGGAGGGCAGGCCGGAGATGCGGGGGACGCCGTAGGTACGTCGTCGTCGACGGAAAACGAGGTAAGTCACCGTTAAAATTCACGGTTTACCGTCGGAGTGGCTCCGACGCCTAGGATGGACGCCCAATCCGTAGCCTGGACGTCCAAGCCAGACGCCAGAACCACCAGAGTGGCGTCCAGCCCAGACGCCCAGACCACCAGACTGGCGTCCTGGCCAGGCGCCACTTTACTGGCTGAGGCGGCCCTGCTAGGCGCCAGTCCAGTGGCTGTGGCAGCCCTGGCAGACGCCACCCTTATAAATTAATTTTTTTTTTCTTTTTTGATTTTGTTGTTTTTTATTTAATTTTTTTTTTAAAAAAAAATCGAAAATAATTTTTTAAAAAAATTCGAAATGGGTTTTTTTAAAATTAAGTTTGAAAATTCGAAATGGTATATTTTTAAATTTAGTTTGAAAATTCGAATTGGGTTTTTATAAAAATTAAGTTTGATTATATATAATTATGCTTTTTTTTTGTGTTAATTCTGTGTAAATATAGAAATTAAATGTATTATCCGTTAAATGTATTTATTGTAATATATAATTGATGCAGGAATATGGTGGAGACGGAAATGATTACAGTGGGATATTTGGACATGATGGTCCATTCGAAGAAGCTCAACAGGCGATTGATTGGGCAAAACAGGTTGCAATTGCAGCTGGATTTTGCTTGGTAGTAGTAACTCATAAATCTCAACGGGATGGTAGAATGGATCGCATTTTGAGATGTGACCGTTATCGCAAAAGAGAAGAAAGAGATTTTCGTACAGCCACTCGGTTTGATACAAAGCGGAAAGGTTGTGGGTGTGAGTTCAGAGTAAAGGTTCGACAACTACGGAGTCGTGACGGTTGGGAAGTGATTGGTTACTCTAAATGGGGGTATCACAACCATGAGATGATAGTATATGAAGAGGGTCATCGACAACTGAGCGGCTTAAGTCTTGCTGCGAAACTAGTTGTGAAAGAAATGAGTGATGCTCAAGTCAAGCCTGCTAAAATATTAGCATCTGTGTTAGAGAAATTTCCAGAAGACCATCCAAACCGAAGACACATCTACAACGTCAGACAGCAACTCAGGTTTGAACGGTCAGAGGGAAGGAACCCTATACAGCAGCTGCTACACCAGGCACAATCACGTGGTTACCTGTTCTGGTTTGATTCTGATGAAGATACAGCGGAGGTGACTCATCTTTTCCTTGTGCATCCTGATTGTGCTGATATGATCAAGTCTTGGCCATTTGTGATTTTGATCGACTCAACATACAAGACAAACAAGTACAAGTTCCCACTGGTTGAGATCATGGGGATGACTCCAACGAACCAGAACTTTCTGATTGGTCATGCAATCATCAAGGATGAGACGGCTCCAAGTTATTATTGGGTGTTGGAGAAACTGAGAAACTACATCGGGCATAATGTTCATCCAGCAGCCATCGTCAGCGACTGTGAGGGAGGTCTCTTTGCCCCCATAGCAGAGCTGTTTCCCGAATCGAACCACTTATTGTCGGTTGCGTGAGACTGTCACCACACCGGTCAGAGAGCTAGCTATTGCGTTTCTTGGGTCGTCATACAGACATTTCATCCGACTAGACATGTCAACCGATTTTCCAGTGCCACCGATTATACCTCGGTGGTACAACATTCGCACAGCGAGCGTAGAGGGTTGGGATGCGCTATATCATGACCGGATCCACGAATGGAACACCCTAGCTGCATTTTAGTTTTTCATGTTTACATTCTTTATTTGTAATCTTATTTGTACGTTGCTCTTTTATTTGTAATCCACGAACGGTTATATCAAAATTTAAAAACAGCACTGATAATATGTTTAAGTTGGAAGCTAAAAGAACAATCTAAAATGTTACAATCTTACAACATAATGTCCAACATAATGCTCTATAAATAAAATGACAAAACCATCAGTAATCCCTCCTCGACGACGACTCCCACTGCGCAAGGGTCTGTTCCAGACTATCAACAACAGCTCTCCCTGTTGCACTCATGCTGTCCTTCTCAAGAGAGAGTTTCTGTACGTCCTGCATTATCTTTCCCATCCACTGCATACAACAAAAAACAGAAGATGAAATACAATAACAACATATAAAACTTAATTAAAAGACAACGATAAATATAATATAAGACATACCGCTTCCATGGCAGTAGGCGGTGGCACATAATCATCATCGCTGTGGTCGAGATCTGCGATCAACCTCGGGTGCGAATACCGGTTGAACCATTCCATGTAGTAATGGTCACACATGGGAGTAACCCCAGAGGGCGGCCGCTGCAACTCCGCAGTCCATAAGCGGGCCACCATCGGAAACTGGTCCCACGTCCCGGTCATGATATCCGGCCATTGCACGACGTAGTCCCTCGACGATGCGCTATATCATGACCGGAAACAAGGTACATCCGAGGAGTAGAAAAACATAAGCACTCAGCTGTGCGTCGTGCGTCCTACGTGCACTGGGGTACAAACACCGCTGCAACACGGATGCGATCTTCACACCTCCGTGTTCCCAAACACCTAGCGCCTCGGTGTACAGTGCAGCCCTGTCCACCGCCAACAACTCCGCCAGCAAATCTGCCTGATCCGCATCAGCCACAGCACAAAGTCGTTTACCCTCAACACGAATCCCCAGAATGGCCTCGAGTCATGTAACATGATCGTCATCTCACCGAACGGAAGGTGGAAAGAGTTTGTATCCGGCTGCCATCGCTCAATGAAAGCCGTGATCAGCGTACTGTTAATCTTATCGGGCATGGTGGCAGGAACGTGATTCACCCCAGTGCCCTCCAGTCGCTCGAACATCTCGCTCTCCGCCGGCCAAGCCTCAGCCCATGTACGCAAAAAGCTACAAGTCTTTTCCCGGGTATGACATTTCAACAAACCCGTAACTGAAGGCCTCTCCTGGTCCTCCCAAATACGGGCAGCTATGTGTCCTAGAAAGCTAGGAATCACACTCCCGTCAACAGGCCCACCGGGCACCTCACTCCTAACAACCCAAGAATCATTACTGGCCCTCGACCGTTTCCTACTTGCCCCAGATACAGTGGACGCAGATGATGTGCCAGATCTACTAACAAACCTACCACCCCTACCCTTACGCACCTCCACCATATGTGTCTCGTACATGTCATCAACCCTTTGACTGAATGGACTGTAATCATCATACGGTCCATTGCCATCGTCCACATCCTCATCCTCATCTGCGCCCTCCTCCTGCTCCTCCTCCTGGTCACCCTCCTCAGCATCATCATCGTCATCGTCATCCTCATCCCGACAGTGGATCCGTTCTCTACGAGCTGAGGCCGAAATACCACGGGATCTGACATGTCTATGCCCCGACCTCTCCACTGAATAGCTTCTACTAAGAAGCTCTACATTCTTCCCCGCACCATGACGACCCAGTAAATTCTACACAAAATTTTAAAATATATAAACATACAAAAATTTATACGAAAAATAGCTACCACTCCCAAATCAAATAAACTAAAACCATACAAATAATTGTAAACAAAATATAAACATAGAAAAAATATGACAAAATTGAAAAAATTTATAAAAATAAACAACAAAATATAAAAACATTTCAAAAATATATTACACAAAAAAAAATTAAAAAAAAAATAAAAACAATATTTTATTTCAAAAAAAAAAAAAAGGGGGGGGGCGCCTTGGCTGGACGCCCAGCCAGCAGTGGTGGCGCCAGCTGCAGACGCCGCCACCAGTGGGCTGGCGCCTGGGCTGGACGCCAAGGCTACGGCTGCGGCGTCTTGAATAAACGCCACAACCGTGGCTATGGCGTCCAGCCCAGGCGCCAGCCTACTGGTGGCGGCGTCTGCAGCTGGCGCCACCACCGCTTGCTGGGCGTCCAGCCAACGCGCCCCGCCTCCGTCACGGCGGTTTTTCCTTTTTTTTTTTTTTTTTTTACAAATTGTACCTTGCCTCCTTGGGACCTCCTTCCCTCCGCCGCCGCCAATTCCTTGCCTTGCCGCCTCGACATTGCCGTTGTTTGAATTTTTTTTTTAGAGAGGTTCAAAGAAGATGAGCGATGAGAGTTTGAGTGATGAGGGTGTGAGCGTTTTTTTTAGGTTAAGGGCAATATTGTCAAACCAAGTGAATTTTGTGGGCTTTATGTAGTAATTTGTGGGCGATGTTTAACAAATCCCTTTTTTTTCTTTATTTATTTTGATTGAATTTTTTAAAAAATGAAAAGAGGTTTTAAAAAAAATGGAAAAAAAAACCGGTTCATCAGGTAAGTGGTCATATTGGCCTGATAAAATAGAATGAGATATAAAGCTTGGATTATTGTATAATAATCAAAATGTTGAATTATTAAAGATAAATACGTCAAAGGTTGGATTATTTAAATCAAATTTTTCAAAGAAAAAAATAAAGTTAATGAAGAAAAAGAGTAGCATGTGCAATTGTACATCTATACGGAAATCAAGAATCCTATGATGTGGGTTTCAAATTTTCAATTATCTAATTCCAAGCTTCGCTTGGTCCAGCTGTCAGACTTATGTCATTTAATGACTTTTAAGATTAAAAAAAAAAGTAGAGGATGCCTTTATCCACTTACTCAGCCAGCTCGATTTGACCCTCTCTTCTAACATTGTTCGTCAATGTTACAAATTTTTGTAACATAAAAAAATAAAAAATAAAAATTGGCCATGTTCTTATGGCGAACATTGTTGATGTAATGATCTATCACATTATTAGTGAAGTGTATTTGTCATTGCTTTGTAGATTGAAGTATAGTTCCAATGGTTTCGAGTTCAAACCTCTTGATACTTGGGGTGATCAATCTCATGTTAGTTTCTAGAACGAAAGGGGTGTCGTCTCCTATTGTTATTGAAGTGTCGTTGGTAAATTGTTGACATGTATCCCGGCGAGTGGCTATTGTACCATGATAGTGAAAATACTTGATGAGTTTTTCGGTTTTATGAGCAGACTCACCCTGGAAGTTCTTAGACAAGTGAACGCCGGTGGCAAATACGTTTCGTGGTTGTACCGCGTACTTCCGGTCCCTCCTTGCTACTTTCTTTACGTTTCTATATACAAGCTTCTCCATCACCCATTTTCTGAAAATGATAGTGTAGGGTAACCAAAGTGAGTATTGTGTCAATTAGAAGCATCAACGGTGTAGCAAAAGGAAAGATCAAGTCAAATAGTGGGAAGTTCAATGGATTTATTACAACACTGTTATTATTATAGAAAATGATGCTTTTCAATCAAGAATCTTATCATTAAGGCATTTTTAGAGAAAAATCAAATGCCAATACTCACACGTTTCCCTGTCCCTACAAGCGCAGCTCCTTACAAAACATTGAAAACAACCCTTTTTTTGATTTTTTTTTTTAAGGTAATGCAATATGTAATTCTTAAGGCTATATATTCTCTAAAATAGTAATAATAATAATAATAATAATAATAATAATAATAATAATAATAATAAATTCTACTCTTGGATTTTGTAAAAAAATTATAAATTTATGACAAAAACACGTGTAAATCAGTGTATTAATGTTTATTTTTATGATATTTTTGAAAAATGCTATACATAACCCTAAGGGCTACATATAAGCATTGAATTTACTCTTGAAAATTGTTTAAATTTAGAAAAACATGACAAAAACACACTAATTACACCGATTTGCGCTGTTTTTGTCATGCATTCCTAACTTTATACATTTTCCAAGAGTAAATTCAATGCTTATATATAGCCGTAAGGTTTATGTATAACATTTTTTTTTAAAATGTCTCATTTCTCAAAATTGAAAACCCTAACATTATAATTTGTATACTATTTCTCCCTCTTCTTCTAAACCCCACTATCATTCTATAATATTTTTCTCCTTCTCTTTTTAATTGTAGTAATTCCCATTTATATTCTCTCTTACTTTTTCAATTTTATTTTATTTTATTTTTTAATTTTAAGGGCCTGTTCATATTTACTTATTTTCAGTTCAGTTCAGTTCAGCTCTAATCAGTTCAGTTCAATTCAGTTCAACTCAGTTCAGCTCAGTTGTTAATTTTTATAAACATTTTCATATATTTTTATGCATTTTAATTTTTCAGTTCAGTTCAGTTCAGCTCCAATCAGTTCAGTTCAGTTCAGTTTAGTAAATATGATTAGGCCCTAAACCATATCATCTCTTATACGAAGTATTATTTTATTCTTTTGCCTAAAACTATATAGTTAAGGGTATTGGGACAATTTTAAAAAATGTACTTTTTTGGTCACTCTAGTTGATACATTTACTTAAAGTATGTTTAGATCACATAATTTCATTAACTGATTTCATATTAGATTATAAAAACACGTCTGTGTATGCTACACATAATGTCTTTAATTTTTGTAATAAAAAAGTTTAAAAATATGTATTTGAAAAATAAACATTAATACAAAGCTAAGACTTAATTTTATACTTCTTCTATTTTTTTCAAGTGCACTTAAATTAGTCTTTTTTAAGTTAAGAAAATTTTTCAATTGCAGCCATTTAAAGTTATTTATTTTTTTTTTAATTTTTGCCAATTGAAGCCATTTAAAATTAAAAAATCCAAATTGCAACCCAAAAGTACTAAAAAATTGTAAATTGCGATCCAGTTTGAATTTTTTTTTATATAAATTTTAATGCCAAAAAATATCCCGTTAAAATTTTAGGGGCCATTTTAGTGTTTAAGGTAAGGGCGGAGCCAGGCATATTAAATCGGGGAGGAGGGGGGATAGATGAACATTACATAGTTTGACAAAAATATTTGGGAAAAAACATCAATACTTACGTGTACAACTCAAAAATTCCAAAATACTACTTGATAAAAATTCAACACCATATACCAATTTTTCCTCCAAAAATAACCGCTTGCGAGTTCGGAATTTTTGAAAAATTCGAACATTAAATAATATAGGCTATTAAATGCGGTAGTCTTGATTTATAATATCCTATGACAAACGTAATTTAGGGGGTTTTGTTCATGCAAATTCATAATAAAAATTATTACTTAAATATATACTTAGGGTATGTTCTCTTCCGTTGAAATTTAGTTCAGTTCAGTTCAGTTCATAATTTCAGTTCAGTTCAGTTCAGTTCATAATTTCAGTTCAGTTCAGTTCAGTTCATTTAAGTTCAGTTCAGTTCAATTCGTACAACAACAACACAACACAACAACAACAACAACAACAACAACAACAACAACAACAAACAACAACAACAGCAACAACAACAACAATAATAATAATAATAATATTAACAATAATAATAATAATAATAATAATAATAATCAATAAGTAATAAATAATAATAATAATAATAATCATCAATAAATAATAATAATAATAATAATAATAATAATAACAACAATAATAATTGAAATAATAATACTGATAATAATAATCAATAAATAATAATAATAATCATCAATAAATAATAATAATAATAATAATAATAATAATACTAATAATAATAATCAATAAATAACAACAACAACAACAACAACAATAATAATAATAATAATTGTTTGGGGGTAAAAAAATACCCCCTACATGTGGACCAATGTCACCTCGACACGTGTCCACAAGCTCAACGCTCAATGAGCCAATTAGAGCATGACACGTGTCATTCAATGATAGAAGGGCGAAAATGGGCTTTAAGCCCACAACCCTAGAAACCGTAAAACGTTGGGAAGCCAATCTACTTAGGTTAAATAACCTAAGAGGCACATATCCCAATACTCTATAAATACTGATTATTACATCAGATTTAGGGAATCCAATTCTCTCTCCAAGGGCAATGCCCCCCACATTTACTCTCCCTTCTCTCTACTTTCTCTCTCTAAAATACATTATTTCGGTCACTGACTTGATCGTCGGAGGCGGACCTCCGCCCCCCCCCCCCCCGGGGTCCGTTGTTTTGCAGGTGATCGGGCCGTTCGAGTGTTGCATTGCAGATCTGTCTCCCGAGGGACGTACACACCCTCCATTCGGGTACGTACAAAAAACCCCAAAACATTTGGCGCCGTCTGTGGGGAGACACATCTGTAATGACACAACGGTAGTGGATTACCGACTCAAGAGGGGAGCCTCCTTTGGGAGGTAGCAGGCATCGTGAGGCCGGATGTCAAGTACATCAGGCGTCGTGAGGTTGAATGTTGAGAGTCAGGCAGCCAAAAAGGCCTGTCAGATTAAGTCATGCATATTTGAAGGTTAAAGGGCAATGCCGTTTAATCTAAATGTTATTAGGGGAGAGACGGCTAAATTGGCCAACTCCACTATTTTAAACCAACTCATTCAATGAGTCGGCCGCATGCTATTTATGATTGATAGTTTGATACTATCAACATCATGGCCGCATGCTATTCATGATTGATAGTTTGGTACTATCAACATCATATATATTAACAAATATATATATGAATGTTACTAATTGTATTATACATAATGTAATACAATAAATTTTTAAGATTCATCATTTTTTCATTTTTAAAATTGAGCGGCTTGCTTTTTACTATGGTGGCCGACACTGTGCAAGTAACAGTTGGTTTTGCTTGCAATAGGACAACCGGCACTATCTACCAAGCTACTCCGCTATTTCATTAATAAGCTTCTCCCTATTAACATAGGCGACTTTTCTCCATTTGAGGTAATTTGTGAGCTCCATGATTAGCAATAACTCAGGCGGCATTTAAGTGGTTGCCTGATTGATACAACCGGCCTTGCAACTAATATAGCAACCGCACGAACCCCATAATGCATAGTCATCATGTAATGCAGGCGGCATAAGGTTAGCTGTGCTCCAATGGTGTCAACCGGTGATCACTATCGATGGTGGCAGCAGGGGCATCTCTGCTCACCAATTATTTGGGCAGCTTTGCTCGTCAAATAAGCCGGTTGCAGGGCTGTTTTCTTTATCAAAAGCCGGCTCAAGTTAATTTTATTAAACTTGATAGTTTACATTTCAGTTATCATGTAAGGGAAAAATAGCCCAAGCGGCATATTAGAGTCAATTATAATGGTAATTGATGATGAAAAAACATTATGAGAAGTATAGCTTGAATTCTACACTTTGGTGAAATTGAATTATAAGCTTTGGTGGAGTGTAGTGTGGACCAACTACTCCACTACGCAAGGCTCTTGATCAACTCCATTAATTTCAGCTCCCATACCCGTCTGACATTGGAATTTTCATCAAGGAGCTCAATCGGCATTCGAGAGTAGTTGCATTTCTTCATGCGACACTTCAAGGCCAAACTATTTTCTTGTGGTAACATACACAAGCGGCCAAGCTATTTTCTTGTGTTAACATACACAAGCGGCCAAGTCTTTTTCTTGCGTTAGCATACACAAACGGGGAGTATGCCATGGCTCAACTTCTCATCAATTTATCCCGGCTGTATGGGTAGCTTTTCTCGTCAGTTAGGCCGGCTGCAAGGGCAGCTTTGCTCACCAATTAAGTCCGCCTGCAGGGCTACCTTGTGCCTCAATTGTACCCGGCTGTGTGATGCTTTGTTAATTCTCAAAGACCAGCCGTAGGGGCTGCTTGGTTCTTCATTTAGACTGGCTGTCATTGGCTCTTTGAGCTCTATGACAGGGGCTGCTTTGTTCATCGACACACCCGGCTGTGTTGATTCATCATTATCATTTTGGTGAAAGGGGTGAAAAAAACGCCTAACTGATGTTCTACCAGTTTGTATGTATATACAACTTTGGTGGAAAAAAGGGAGAGCTACTCCATTGTTTATTCTTGCCTTAACAAGTCAGACCCGGCAATTATAGCCAACCAGCGTTGGTGGTTATCAAGGATGGCAGCCGGTCACCATTATTAATGGTGCCAGCCGGTTACCATCATCAAGCATTTCCGCCGGTCAGCATTATCAATGGTGTCAGCCCGCCTGCGTTCGATTTTAATCTTGAACAAGCATCAAGAAGCGTTTGGTGTGCTTGGCCTCAAACGACTGTGAGTATCAATAGGGTCAGCCGGTTACAATCATCAAGTTATTATTCCGGCTGCAGCATTGGCTCATTGAGCTCGAACTTACTCCAAGCCGTCGAGGTCGTAATCAATCAATTTATTATATTTGAACT